TCAGGCGCCGCAGAGACGTCAGTGGTGGCGTCTGCTGGTCACCAGCGCTCCGCTGCGCTGTCCTTCGTGTCTGCAGCACGTGCTGTATGCCCCTGGGTCCAGCCCAAGGTCCAGCCCAAGGTCCACCCGCTTTCTGCAGCCAGGCCCTTTAGGTCCTTGCGAGTAGTTATCATGACCCATAAGTGTCTTTGTAGTTTAATTAATTAAAAGTCCAAGGCAATACCACTCAAAGTTTGAGAGTATTTGAGTTATATAAGTCAGCCTTAAAAATCAATCACAGTAGAAAATGTGGATTTTGGTTACCGTGTCAGCAAATACACATCCCCGCTCTGTGTCTACTTTACGTGCAAACGTAGAAACATTGTGCTGAGTAAATCTATAAAACAGTTCAAGACCACAGATAGGTTTTACGGTCGACATCTAATTTTCACTGTAAATCATCAGAAATACACTTGGAGTCAACGTTACCAAACGTGACAGCGTGGGGAGGAGACGAGGTCCGTGCGAAGATGGACGCAGGCCTGGGAAGGGGAGCGAGCGAGCTGCTCGGGGCGGTGCTTTCCCGGGACGTTTTTTGCTGAGTTTCTCAGTTCAGGGTGCCCTGAAGAACAGTTTCCACCCCAAACAGGAACCAGTAAGGACACAGGAGAGCCGGCGATGGCGTTTTCAGCAGTGAGGTGGCATCTGTATGACTGGAAATTCTGGTTTCAAGTAGCTTCTCTTAGGGATTCAGGAAAGAATGTTCATACTTTGAACTAATTCTTCTTAAATGGCAGAACCTTTTTGAGAATTTAAGAAATTAAGAGAGAGGTTAAGTCTATAAATACATGTGTTGACCTAGATGGGACATCTATGGAATTTTCAAAAGAATCTGGTGCTTTTTAAAGTCGCATTTATAAAAAACATCTGATTTTTGCCGTCACTGTCGCACTGGTTGTCGCTTTTGTGTTTATTGGTTGTGACAGGAAGCGAGGGCGGAAGGCCGTTTCCAGTGGCCGACTCTGGCCCCCTGCAGAGCCGGCTGCTCTCTCTGGTAGAGGGTCGGCCCATGTGCGTCTCCTCCAGTCCCCTGTGTGACTGCTCAGCAGATTCGGCTGGTCGTCCCAATTGCCTTAGAAGCTTTTGAAAAATTTCAATTCTCAGGCTCCAAGCAAAACGCCACAAGATACAGTAACCCCTGTGTGAATTAGGAAGAGTGTGTTAATAGTATTTTTTCTGATTGCCCGGAGAAAACATGACTTGCCAGTTTCTGTCCACTTTCTGGCCAAGTCTCTCTGCTTTTCTTTGGACTCCTCAGCCCGCCCTTCCCTCAGCACACCTGCATTAAAATCGGACTCCCCCTCCCTCTCTCTCGCCCTCTCGGTCCGGGCCAGGCCACCTTCCCTGCAGGCCCTCAGCCCCCGCACGCGTCCCCAGGGGCCTGCACCACCTTCTTCTCTGGGTTGTCATATGGCTGAGCTGCCCTGGGCTCGCGTTCCTCCTGGGGCATTTTCCTCCCCATCCTTCAGGAAGTCTGCCCCCATCTTTGTCCAGGCGTGGAGAATGTAAGTCTCACCCAGCCTTCTCCCTCAGGCTTAGGACCTCCTCCTCCTCCTCCTCCTCTTCCGCCCCGAGGGCTCGGTCCATCAAGCGCTCGGGGCTGAGAGAAAGGGAGTCGCGTTGCTGTCAGGTACTGCCCGGACGCACACCTCCATGGCCGCCGACCCCCGCGTGTCAGGCGTGCGTCCTGTCCATGCCTCTGCTCGCGGGTACGCATCGAAGTGACCTGACAGACTCTAGAGGCCAGCCCGGTGGCGTGCAGGTAGCATTTGGGCCTGCACACGGATGTTTAAGAGTGATCCGCGACTTGGAATTTCTGCTCTCTAGGAATTCCCCAGATGCTCACAGTTGCATCCTGGATGAGAAATTACCCAGGTGTGCGTGGATCAGTGGGAATTTAGTGATTGCATCAGTCACAGCGTTCAGGCTGCATGGAACTAGCCTGAAGCTAGTTCCTGCAGGGGCTTCAGAGGAACCACAATCCCTTTACTGTCCTGTCAAAATAGAGAGGGGGTCGCTGGACTAGGATCACAGACAAACGTGGGAGATGTTTACAGAGTGGGAGAACAGAGTTTGCCCCCCTAAATATGCCTTTTGGGATCTTGATTGTTTTAAGCTCGTGGTTGTCAGGAAACACAAGACTCAGGAAGAGCCTTTGACCTTCCCCCTCACTGTCTAAAAGAAATTAGGCGGAGGACCTGCTCCAGGAAAGGAGCTATCATCATAGATGAACTAGGTAGGGTAGACAAGGAAGGACCTCGTGAGGCCCCTTTGATCAAAGGCCTCTGTGTCACATGGTTAAAGACAGCCCAGCACAGTTGCCACCACGCATTTGCTTCTCTCTCCGAGCTGCTTTCCTGCTTCAGTCCGAATAGCTGTAGTTTGTCAGTCATTCTTCAGGGGAAAGTGGGTGTTTCTGGAAAGGGCAGCTAGTCCTCCTTGCGTCTGAAGCCTCTGCACAAGTGCTTCTCCTGGAGACACCCATGCGCTCGGTGTGCAGGGAGACTGCCTCCTGGCACGCCACACCTCATCCTAGGCCGTGGGCTTCGGGGGCGAGATTTATTAAGAACAACTGGCCGTTCCAGCAAGGACAGTCTTAAAGGAAATTGGCTGCTTCGTGTGCAAGCTCCCGGTGACGGACAGTGACCTCCACGCGGCGTGGCGCCTTGATTGGTGCGGAGGGTCTGTGACCAGCCATGGCTCTCCCGTCAGCCACCTCCCAGCGCTGGGGAGCAGGCACAGACCGCTGGTGCTGTAGGGGTGTTGACCTTGAGGACGCCATGGGGTCTGAGGACCACACCCCATGCGACAGCCGTGTTCCACAGCTCCGTGTTCCGTCAGAGCAGCGAGCCTGAGGCGTGGAGTCGGCCCCTTCGCTTCCAGCCTGCCGAACATTCGTTCCCTCTTCTAATTCCTTTGCTAACGTCTCGTCACTTTCCTGGGAAGCGGAGCGTCTGCACGTGGGAATAAAAGGAGAGACGACCGGTCATTCTGGTCACCCTGAGAGAGAGTTGCTTTACTGCGTCCGGAGGCCTTGCCGTTTAGCCTGTTCGCACTTAACAGGGACCCATTTGAACCTCTCAGTTCAGGGTCGTTCAGCTTAGTGTATTTAGTGTTTTATGAAAGGAAAAAAAATGAAATTCTAGTGAAAAGTTAATCACCGTTTAACCAAAGATCATTTATATTTGGTTCATTCTTCCGCAGGTCGGTTAGGCCAGCTGGGCTTGAAGGAAGGGTTTCCGTCTGCCGTGAAGAACATCAGCTCCGTCATCGGCATGTTCATCCAGCACGCCCGGGAGGAAGGTAGGCCTTCTGCTCACAGGTCACGCGCCCTCGTACTGCACGTGGCTTTGAGCCTCACCAGAGGCCGCGCTCTGCCTGTCTCTGCTGCACTGCCACAGGGGGAGGGTTGTCACCGATGCGCTGACAGCTGACCCAGAGCTCAGCTCCTCCTGGCCCCGGGCCACACCTTGTGACTAATTGAAATTGCTTCTAAATCGCCGTGTTTCTCTTAGCCTTAGACTTTTATTTTTGTTTTCGTTTTAGTCCTTGGGAGGAGCCTACTCTGCTCCCCTAATGGCCTTGTGGAGCGGGGGACATCTTAGATGCGGTGGCTGCTTTCCACGTTTTCAGCAGCGACGCTCGCACATGTGGGTTTTGCGATGTTGTTTAGTTTCAGTAGTAGCCGTTTGCCCTCTCGGGCACTGCACCACTAGCGAAAATCTGCAATGAATAGTTAATAATAAATGCTCGTGAAATAACACCTAAAGTTTTAAACTAAATTATTTCAGTGAATTACAGTTTGTTTTTAAATAGCTCTTAAATAAACTTACAGTAAATCAGAACTCTAATATACCATTATCTATCCTAGCACATAAGCTACAGGTGCATGCTATAATTTATAATCATAAACTATGATACAAGGATAGGTTTTTATTTGATCTCATTTCATTATGTTTTATATTTCCAAAGTCCATTTATAAACACTTCCCGTGGATACTTACTGGGGCGATAATTATTTGACACATGCTTTGCTGGCGCGGGTTGTGAGGGGCGGGCGTGTGCCACCCTGTGCCTGCTGCTGACGCCCCGGCAGTCCCGGGCACGCAGGCCAGCACCGGGGACCCACAGAGAGTGCGTCTGCTTTTTCCATTTTTTCCCCCCACTTGTAGACAGGTCTTACATTTTTTCACCGTCGGCCTTGCATACTTAATTTTCATTGCTGGCAAAAAGCATTCTGGTTTTGAATAGTATTTAGTAGATGACACCATTAAAATTGTGAAAAACAGACATTGTCTTGTGTAATGACTGCTGTGAAAATTCTTTTCAGATATCCCGTGGGGTATACAGCTAGCAGCTGTATACGCGCTTTGTGACTTGAGTCCCAGCAATCCAGCGGAAATATCCAAGATCCTAGAAGCTTGGCGCAAAGAGACCGGCCACAGCGTCCCCTCTGCAGTGGTCAGCTCCCTGGAGGAAGTCAGTGCGTTGTGCGCGGAGGAGCTCGGCTAGCCCGCGGCCGGCCACTGCGTCCGGAGAAGTGCCTTCACATGATCTGAGTACAGAGAGATCCGTCAGCTGTCAGATGCGAACTGCGGTTTGGTTTCAGAGCGAGCGCGCGGAGGGGGGACGCGGGGACGCGCTCCTCGCTGGCCCGGGGCAGGAGAGGTGGGCGGGGCCGCCGTGCTCCCCGGGCCCCACGCATTTCACTCATCGAAAGGCTGTGATTCCATGACACACCGATCGTGTTATTCTGTCCTGGTCAAACAACAAACACTTGAACTTAGCCCTTTTTTGCTGCAGAAAGTGTCCTTTTAGTCGCTTTTAAAAAATGAGTGGCATTTTATAATGAATTTAATGTAAAAGCGTTGATTTGGCTCCTGAGCTGATTCTGGGCTTTGTGCTCAGCCAGCTGCCCAGGAGAAACTGGATTGGCCGAAAAGGAGCTGGAAGCCTCTTCCACGTCTTAGCTGCAAATGGGCTACAGGTGAAGTGCACAGCCGACAGGAAAGCGCAAGCGCAAGCGCGGGGAGCCTTTCGAAACTCACCTGAGCGCGTCCTCGCCGCGTCGCTGCCGTTGCGTGGACGAAACTGCCGCGTCGGGAAAGCGGGACTGCGGGTGACGGCCGCGCAGGTCTCGTCTGGACGGCGCGTCCGCCCTTCGGC